CCGCCCCGTTAGGCCAGCTAACGGCCGAGCGGATGTGGGCTGGCCCCTGCACTGGCCAAGCCCCAGTGCGGCCTTCGCCCTCCTCCTCCTCCTCTTCGAGCTGCCCCTGGGGCTCCGATGCCCCCCTGCCCATGACAGGAGGGCAGTTCCCAATGCCCAGAAAGGCCCACCGGCCGGGCCTCCGTCAACGGTCCATTAACTGCCCGGGTCCGAGCAGTGTCTGTGCAAGTCCGTGGTGGAGGCCGGGGGGGCCGGCGCCAGCTGCCCGGGGAGAGAAAGGCGCCTCGGGCCGGACAGGGGTGGCTCCACCAGCAGCACCACATCGTCGCTGGGATGGGCAGCATCCAGACCCGGCGCTGGGAAATCGGGAACCTACGTGGGAGGAAAAGGGCAGAGTCAGGGCCTGGACAGGCTGGCGGACAAAGGACTGCCCCCCCCCGGGTTTCCTACAAGAAGGCACCCAAGGGGGCACCCGGCTTACGGGAAGGGAGGATGCTGGCACACACAGCGCCCCCGGGGGAACGTGCCGTTTTCCTTCTGCTTCCAGCCGGAGGTGGAAAAGCCATGCCATGAGGGCGATGGGCTGGAAGCCCCCCTGGTGTAGGGGCCTGTGGGGAAGTCGGCCCGGCCGGGGGATGGAGGGGGTCTCGGGTGCCCCCCGGGCCTGGTTCTCACCTGAGCTGGGGTGCGGAGTGCCGGGCCCCGGAGGGGGGTGACGGGCAGGGGCCGCTCCCCCAGGGCTGGCTCAGAGCCCGGCGGCGGAGGCAGCGGAGATGAGACTGTGCTGTAGGCTGGTGGGACCAGCACCGCCTGCCGCTGCAGCAGCTGCAGGATGGCGGCCACGTCTGCGGTCAGGCGGCTCTCGAGCCTGGCGGGAGGGGGGAAGAGCAAGGAGACCATGAGAGGCGATGGGAGAGGGCGGAGGACGAGGGGAAGTCTCCAGCATCAGCTACCTCCCCCCTATACCATCATCTCCACTCCAAGGGGCTCCGGGGCTGGTGGGTGGGGGGCTTTCCGTGATGCTCCAGAGACAGGCCTGGCTGGGAGCTCTGCTCGAGGGGGTGGGGGTGAGGGTGGGGGGCTTGGACCAACCTACAGGAACCTCGCCTGGCCCAGCCCACAGGATGTGCTCCATTAGAGCTAGGGTAGCAAGGAAGGGGCCACACTGTGGTGGCCGAGGGTCCTC